GAGACATGCATTTTGTGTTCAGGCCTTCTTTTACAGCAGTCTTTTAGATATCCCAAACAATGCAAGGTTTTAAAGGTCAACCCTACCCTTCCAACTGGTCTTGGAAACCAGTAAAGATTGTATTTGTAAGTACAGTACATGCATGGACAAGAAACTCAGTCCATTCATCAGCAGTCAGCATTTTGAATGCTAACATTCTTAGCCAGTTTTCAAGGGCCATCCCATGTTAACTATGTCACACTCACCTGGGATTAACTAAGGCATGTTTAGCTATGGCACAATTTGTCTTCTGCAAGAATGATTACAGCTGCCACGTTGCTGCAGTTGTACATCCAGGAGCCCTATCAAACCTAGAATCACTGAAAACCTGCTTTTTAAGAGGGAAAAGTTAATCTAACCAGAGCTGAAAACCAAAAGACAGAATCTCCACCTTGTCCAGATTAAACCTCAGTGTGTTTTCCCACAATATACTCCTCAGTTGCTGGATTCCTCCTGCTGTTGACAAACAGAATTTTTAGGCTTTCTAATGATGTGAAGCGGAAAAAGCCACTTGCCTTTATTATATGACTACTCCTACACTTCTGTGGTACAGACAACTGATAAGCCTGAGAATGGCCATATTCTATTCACATCAGATGGGGAAATTGTTCAATTGAGTTGAAGGGAAAATTACCCCAAATCTGGTGTGGCATTTTAACTTGAACTGTGGTAAACTAGCCTTGCAGCTTGTACATCTGAATGGACACCCCATTTCAGATTTTCTCCAGCAACACAGGAAACCAGAACACAATTAGAGTGCATAAGGTTCTCCAAGTGAAAGATTTCATGCTGGCCTTTATGGCAGGTGTTGATAGCTGCTTTAAGTGCAAATTACTTGCTTAAATAGGATCAGCTGTTCTGATTGATAATCACAATTCCAATAATGTCTGTTGTGTTTTAAGTGAAGAATATTTTGCAATCATTCATTCAACTTTTGTACAGCACTATGAAGCAGGTTGGTCCTGTTCCACGGAGGGGGAAATGGCGCTGGGAATCACGATTGCTCAAGGACACCCATTGAGTTTGCAGACTAGTAGAGGTTGAACTTGAGTTTTCTGAATCCTGTTAGAGCTGGGCCTTGGGTCACAGTCTGTAGTGAGGCAAGGAACCAAGTGGCATGATTCAAAGCCAGTAGCCCCAACAAGCAAGTTGGAACCAAAGTGCAAAGCAAGTTTCAGGCAGAAGATGCTGCTTCCAGACTCTGGAACTCCTTCCCACAGGAGGCTAGGATGGCCCCATCCTTGCTGTCTTTCTGCTAACAGGAAAAGACCTTTCTCTTCAGGCAAGCTTTCATTGAGTGACTGGCTGTCTGAGTGAGGATTGTGATGCATCATTGCTTTGAATGTGTTTTGGTATTGCTAACGTTTCCCCCCCCCCCGCCCCCAATAATATTTGTTTGATGCTTTTGTACTTGTATACTCACATTGTTAGTGTTAAATGGTGGAAGGAAAAAGGCAGGGGAAGAATAAAGAGCAAACCAAGCCAAAAAAAGGAGGGTTTAATAAGCAAGCCAGGGGTCATCATGACCCAAGGACACAGGAACATGCCAGGGCTGAAGATGGCTTTGTTGCTGTGCAAAGCTCAGTGGGAATGAGAAGCCCATTAAGATGTTTTGTGCCCTGAGTGCCTAGTAGCCAGACTGTGTGGGCAGAGTAATGTTAGGGTTTTGAGATACTTCAGTGACAAGCTTTCACCTTCAGGTCAGACAGTCTTGACTGAGTCAGCCATTCACAGATACAGGTATCTCCTGACAGGAAATGCATCGCCATTCACAAAATGCCTCTTCATTGAACACCTACAGTAAACATTTTCTCTTGTAGCACAGCTGGAGGCAGCTTCTTCAAAGAGGTAGTAGGTAATTCAAGACTACATGGGGATAACACAGTCACAGCCTTGATAGTCCACTTTATCATCATATCCCTGCTCTTAGCAGTACAGGACTAAAAAACCCAAACGAGTTCCCACACCTGTAGAGTGTTGTCAGTACAGTATTGTTTGCAGTTGTGGCCAACACTTTTAAACTCTGGACAGTGGTTACTGCTGCAGGAGAGGGGTCACTGGTCAGGTGTCTCCAGACAGCAGGGCTAGGAGCTGCAAGCAAGCATATGTTAGGAATGCAGGTGGTGAGAACAGGGGCCAGCAGACAAGCAGTCTGGCACAGGTATGTGGGGTCACTGGTCAGGTGTCTCCAGACAGCAAGCATATGGTAGGAATGCAGGTGGTGAGAACAGGGGCCGGCAGACAAGCAGTCTGGCACAGGTAAGTATGTATGTGTGGCAACATACATTGCCCCTAATAATCCTTTGGCTCATGGTGATGTAGGGTATGGCTTGTCCTAGGAGATGGTAAAAATGGTTTCTGTCATATGACACTGTAGTCCTTGGGATACATGTGCAGCTACAGTTTGCGTCAGATTTAATCAAATTTTGAAATCCGTGACAGGAAATTTTGAGCAACTCATTGATAGTCAGCAATTAATATTGTTACTCCTTAAAAAGCCCAGATTCTGGCACTCCCAAACCAGGGCTGTTTCTTACTGGATTTTGATCTTCTATTTTTCTGGTCGGCAGACTCTGAGTCATTATAATGAACAAGGCCATAGGGCTGAGACAGCAGTATGCACCTACATCAACCCTGCCCCACCACACAATGTTTATTGCAGGAGCAGGATTAAAGCTGATTATGAGGATGTTTGATTTGGCTTCCATGCCCTTATGTCTGCAATAATCTGAACTCGGGAAACAGGAGTCTTGCTTTTGAAATGGTTTCCTTGTCATTCTTTGCCTTACCCCATTTGCTCAATTTACCCTTCTGTACTGACCCTGACCTGTGACTTTCCATTGAATTCTTGTAGCTATGTGCCCTTATGTTGCTTCAGATTTATGACAATCTTCTGAATTAGTGGCCTTCAGAAGCCCCAGTCATTAATAGCCCTGCTCAGGTCTTGCAAAATAAAGGCAGTGGTTCTTTTGTTGAGTTAGTTCATCTCATATTGGATTTTCCTCTTTTCCTACTGCCATCCATTTTTCGTATCATTATTGTATTTTCTTGTGCGTCTTGCCTTCTGCTCTGCCCAAAGTACGATTTTCTATACTTTTAGCTGTTTGTGAGAACTGAGGCTTGATTTGATCTAGAACTCACTTTTTGTGGCTATCATGGTAGTCCATGATATCCACAATGCTTTCTGCCAACATTACCACAATTCATCTGAACCGATTTCTTCCTCTGTCAAATTTCTTCCTTAACCAGCCTTCACATCTGTCTATAGTAATAACTCATCTTATGTTTGTACTTGTAGACTTGGTGTGGCTCAGTGAGTTCAAGTACCTGGCTATGGGAACCAGGGGCAGGAGTTTGAATCCTCTCACAGTGTCTTCTGGAAGACAGCCCAGCCCCAAATCATGTGGTGTATGTGTGGCTAAAGGACTTACAGTACATGCTTTGTTACCTGTGTGACCCTGAACAACTTACATAGCTGAGAGTGTCATCAGAAGGAGGGCCTGGTAGGCCACCTCTGAATACTTTTTGCCCAGACATTACTGTGAGGGTTAACATAAGTTGGAATCGATTTGATGGGACATACTGTAATTAATTAAATGGTATCGTCCGCATACCTTAAATTACTGATGTTTCTTTCATCAAATTTTTTCCTCCTTCCTCTGAGTCTTACATGTATATTCCACATATAAATTGATCAGATAGGGAGGTAAAATACATGCTTGTTTGATACCTTAATTATAAACCATTCTGTTTCTCTATCTTCTGTACTAATAGTAGCCTCTTAGAATCATAGAATCATATGCTTCTAGTCAATATATATTTACAACATGATTCTGCTTCTTCCTTTTTTTGAATCCAGCTTGAATAGCTGACGTTTCTCCATATATGTAAAATATATGAGACTCACTTTTCTTGCATGGGGAATTAATGTGACAGTCGTATTGTTCCTGCATTATTTGGTGTCTTTTTTCTATGGGACTGGGGTATACGTTGAGCACTTCCAGTGTGGGGCTATTGTTTTGTTTTCCATATTTGTTGATGTATTATTGTTCAGATTTTGATAGATTCAGTCTCTGTGCTTGAAATGGCTCTGTTGATGTCTCATCTATGCTTGGTAATTTATTTTTTCCAACAGCTTTAGGAGAAGTTTTCACATCATTTGCTAAAATTACAGTTCTTTATTGAAATATTATTTCTGGAGGAATCTTTCATCTATATATTTCTTCTGTACAGTTCCTCAGTATATTGTTTCCCTCTTCTCTTTATTTATAAGGTAAAGGTAAAGGTTCTCCTTGACATTTAGTCCAGTTGTATCCGAATTTAGGGCGTGGTGCTCATCCCCGTCTCCAAGCTGTAGAGCCAGTGTTTGTCTGTAGACAGTTATCGGCCAGCGCGACTAGACACGGAATGCTGTTACCTTCCCACCGTGGTAGTACCTATTTATCTATTCACATTTACATGCTTTCGAACTGCTAGGTTGGCAGGAGCTGGGACAAGCGGCAGGAGCTCATTCCGTTGCGTGGATTTGATCTTACGACTCTCGTCTTTTGAGCTTGCAGCGTTACACCTTTTGACATTAGTAGTTATTTAGCTGTATTGTGATTAATATGCTGTAAAAGATTTGTATTTTCTTAATTCCAGAGAAGAAAACTTGTATGATAAAGTTTTGAGAGTTCCTTACCTTTTGATACATTATGGTAGATTTGACAGCTTTTAAGTATTACTTGACTCAGCCAAATTTGGGGGGAAAAAGTGGAAATTGCAGTGTGTGCACCATTCATAATTGACACAAGGGTGTACAGTATTTGAGCAAATGTACTTGCATATCGGAGCAGAAATACACATACAGCTACTGTTTTTGCATATTGTTGACAACTGATTCAAGGAGTTAAAGGAGGTTTGGGAGAAGATTATTTGAAGCAGAAGGGAGAAAGGGTGCTTGAGTGCCCTACTGGCCACCACTTTTCTACTCTAGGTTCCTGGGCTTCCATGTTTCATGTCTAGAAACCAGACAAAAGCAAACCATTTTAATGGAGAAGTGGCAAATTGCACTTTTTCTCTCCTGCAGGTCATCTGCTCCCTAAACTGCTTTGCTTTAATGTACATACTGTGTAGAGTGTAACCTTTAATTCTACTGTCAGTACCCAAACACAAAATAATATTATGCCAATTGTCTCTCATTTCCCATTCCCCAATTTGCTTACTGAAATACAGTATAGGAACAGTCTGGTATCTAAATGTGAATGCAGTCTCGCTAATAAATCAAGGGAATAAGCCAAAGCATGTTTATAGTTACAGCAAGTTACAAAGGCAAGCAATGACGTTTGTGAGTATGGAAGAAAATGTGAATTGGTGTCAGTCGGGCTGCCATAAAACTATGATTGGTTTGTCTGTTTAGCAAGGATCAGTTCCTGGGAGGATTCCTGGCTGTCTTTTGCAAGAGGCTTGTTCCTGTCGTCCCTCCCCTCCAATGCCATGTGTCAGCTTGTCCTTCTATGCCTGGAAGGGTTGGGAGTGCTGATCCTCCTGGGATGGAGAAGGTATTGCTCACTCGCCCCTCCCTGCTGACTCAAGTCAAAACAAGTAACATACAGTTTCTTTGGCACAGCCAGAGCAAGACGGTGCCTTGGAGAGGGAAGCGGCCAGGAGGCCAGGAGTCGTAAAGTGTGGGCTTGACAAAAAAACAAACATCAAGAAGCAGAAGAAGCTGCTGTGCCACTGCCACTTGGGTGTTAGGACACTGAAACAGACTTGGCTTTGCTTCTTTTCACCCATTCGTTTCTCAACAGCAGTTACTTTGAATCAGGAACCTAATCCAGCAGGTAAGGAAGCCCAGTGGTTTGTTCAGGGCAAATAGGAGGGAAGACCTTTTCCCATTGAAGGCCGGTGTCACCAAATCTGTTTGAAAATCTTTAATTGTTTAAATGTGTGTTTTTCCAGCATTATGGTGTTCAGAAGACATTCGAACACGGAGTGGAAAATGCTAATTACTCTGACTGATCTAGTAATATTTTGGTACAGATTAGAATAGAGATCTGATTAAATTGTACATATTCTTCATGCTGATCCTTTCCCAAGTTACAGATCCCCTTCATGAAAGTCCCAGCTATACCTTCAAACCCCACAGATAGTTTGCCGTGTGTTGCATGTGTAAAGGTTTTGCTCTGTTTGGTTGTCACTTCAAAGTGTGTGTGATTCTCAGATGTAACCCACATGTAGGTTACCTACTGCTTCCTGAACAGAAGTTATTTTTATATGAGGAATCTGTACTGTGAGAATCAGCCTCTGCCGAGCAGCGCCTCTGGTTTTTCTCTGAATCTGTCCTGATTTGTGGAGGACATGGAGCCTTCCTGGACTGAAAACATTAGAGGATAGCCATGTGGATAGAGAAAGAAAAGGGCAAAATCATTCATGGCTGTTCTTATTTTGAATTTCTTGGAATGACTGAATAGAAAAGGAATATTCTGCGGTTTGACAAGAACTGTACAGTATGGGTATAGCAATTAAGGGTTTTGTAATGTTGCGATCCAAAAGTCTTTATGCTTTTATTCAGCTTTGTGATTTGGTGTTTTGGGAAGTAAGAAGCTGCTACTGCTGAGTGGTGACTTCAGTGGATAAGTGACTTGATACTCTTACCAGGCAGCACAGGTTTAGGGGCTGATAGGTCACTACTGTGTGGGTGTGTCACAGCTACTTAGCTAGTACCAGCCATCATGAATGAGCTTGGCCCATGATATTAATGCTACACCATGAGCATTTCCACTCAGTCAATGCTCGACCATCTTTGTGGTTCTGATTTAATCTCCATGTCTCCACTGATTTTTTTACCACTTCTGATAAATATACCTTTCTCCTTGGATGCTATTTCAGCAGCGTTGACCTCTCTATGTGTTAGCGCTGATAGCAATACTGTAGTTACTTCTTTCAACTTTTTACTAGCTGCTGGGCATGTGTAGTGACATCTGCTGGCCATCTTGCGGGGCAGAACATAGCCCTCCCGTGGCTGGAGAAGCAGTGTTGGGTTTTCTTCTTCTCTTTTTTTTACTTGCAGGGCTAGTGCTCCTTGTGCTGTTCTGCACATGACTCCCAATGAGCTATGTGGGGAGAATTATTAAGACACTATAGCTGAGGTACCAGGTAATTCGAAATGATACTGGGAGCGGCTCAGGGCAGCTCCTGTTGGTGTGATGGGTATCATCCATTTAGCAGCCATGACATTAAATGTGGCAACTTTGCCTTCTTTCTTACCACTGTTGGGAATGCAAGAGTTGTACTTCTAGAGTCAAGTCAAGATCTGCTTAAAAAAAAAATAATAGTAGAGGTCGGTAGTTCATTGCTGCAGTTCCCCACAACAGAAGCAGTTGCTGCAAATGTAGTCCTCTGAGCTTGGAAGAATTGCCTATAAGATGACCATTCCCAGAATGAACCCCAGTAGAAGTCCTTCCATATGCCAACCATATAGAAATACATTTTCAGCATTAATTCTATATTGTCTATATGTTAGCAGCAGTGTAGAATATAGGGAGACACATGTACGTGTACATACAGTTTGGGGATGTGAAACTAGAGGAGATCCCATGTGGGTTTCTGGAAATGTTCTTTCCTTTAATGGAGGAGAAACAAGCAATCAAGCTTCCCACAGTGTGGGGTATCTGAGAGATTCCTGAGGGAAAGTGGTGATAACTGCCACTTAGTATTAAAATTTTAATCACATCATGGTTCAGTTAGTCAATTAAAGCACTATATTTAATTAAAAAACAATTCAACGATTTGGCAGGCCTTTTTCTATTTCAGTAAGTAGTAGACAACTGAGAAGATATACATTCAACTTGAGTTACTTTTCAAACTGCTCAAGGGCTTGTTTAAACATCCTCCGATTTAGATGGGGGAAGAGTGGAACATTGACTCATAGTCTAGGACTGGGTGCCAGACGATTGTTTTATTACTGCATAATAAATGTGCAGTTGTTAATCAAGAGCTGGAGGTGGGGGACAAGATGATTGACACATCTTTCCTGAAGCAGGACTTCTATTTTAGGGATATTGCATTACCTGAGCACACTGATTTCAGAGACTTGGCATTGGAATGCACTTCTTACTGCAATAAGCCTAATGTTTTGGAACCTGGAGGAGTTTAATTTGGACTGTATTACTGATAGTGTCTCAATCCTCTATTGGCTAGTGCTTGTGACATCAGCATGGTTCCTCCTTCCATCCTTGGAGAATTATGTTATTTTTACTATTATTCTTTTGTTTCTCTAAAATGCCTGCTGCTGTACTACTTAAGCATAAAGACATTCTCTTTCTCATTCCTCACAGCCAGAGGTGGAAAAGTTTACATTTTTGAACTAAAACTCCCCAAATTACCTGACCAGTGCAACCAATGGCCATGCCAACTGGGACAATATGGAGGTTGTAGTCCAAATAGTAATTTCCCTCCAAGCTTTTCTAAAAGTAATACCCATTAAGTTCATTAACCCTTCTGACCTTTTTGCCTCATTCTAGGCCAGCAGGACTCTAGTGCTGGTTTTGCACTCTCTGGTCTCATCAGATCATCCTCTGCCCCACTCCCAGAAAAGAAATTTAGCAGCAGTTGAACTTTTCCAAAAATACCAATTTCTAAAAAGCAGAAATAGACTTTTAGCCTTGTGCTGTTTCATTCCCCCCCACCCGCCTATTCTTTTCCCCCCCATTTGTAGTGGTCACTAAAGCCTCAGGAGGATCCTATGGATAAAATATTGGTGAATGGACCTGACAAAGTTGCCCAGTTCTGTTCTAGGCTGTAGATTTCTTTGGCTGTAGAATTCTGTCTCTGTTTTTCTCTCTGTCTCTGTCTCTGTGTGTTAAAACAGTGACTGGATGGCTTCACTAAATATATCCCATCCTTTTTAGCAGTTTCCCTTGAAAGTCCAATAATTTGGATGAGGATAGTAATGCCCAAATTGTGGGTGGCAAAGTTACTGGTTTTCATTTGAATCCATATAGAACTCATGCTCTGAATCCCCCAATTTCAACTGTATTGTGTGCTTCCTGTATGTTTCCATGATAACTAGTAAGTCTAATGACAACGGTTAGATGGTGCCAGGTCCCCAAATGCTTGTGACAGAATATTGCTCTACTAGTCTCAAGTCCAATTTGGTAGCATCTTTTCCTTTAAAAATTATTTCCCCTTACTTCTAGCTTTGGAAAGACCTTGGATGTGTGTTGGTAGGTCAAAGAGACACACCCTGGAGTGGTGTTCAGCTTGGTCAGGTTGAGGAACTGGCCTACAAATTTGCGGTAGAGATTGCTTTTTCGGAACTGCTGTTGGAATACCAGCTATTTTTTGGATTCTAGCACATATCAGTTTAAAAAGTTGATTCCAGTCCAGTACTTGGTATTTATGTTGTTTTCTCTTGGCACAGTCTCTTTTTTCTTGAGCTCAAAGGGGCAAAGAAGATGTAGAGAAATATATACTGTACCTATATTTTATACCTCTGGGGAAGGGGCTTGTGGGCTGGGATGCTTTTTTGGGGGGTCTCATGAGCCGTCTTAGTATAGACCCGTTTGGCTTCTGAATTAACTCCGGTCAGGGGCAAATCACTCCTACAACACTACTCTCATAGGAAAATATTGACTTGACTTACATACTTAGATTTGAGTTAAGAACTGAAAAAAACCACGTGGGAGGCAGGGAAAGTGCAAAATTTGAACTTTCAGTTAACTGTTGGCCAGTGAAAAGGGTGCCTGTCTGCTTCCTCACTCCTCCCAGCGTTTAGAGAGTGGATTGGGAGTCTTCAGACTGCCTGGATTGTATTTTCCCTGCCTTCCCTGAACCTTTCTTGACCTAAGGAAAAAAAGAAACAAAATAATCCCCCTCTAGTGGTCGAAGGCAGAATAGCAGCTTCCCATTAGTTTCTATGGACGGAAAAGAGCAGATAAGGATCAAATGGTTCTCAATGCATTCCTATGGGAAATGCAGATTTAACCTGAGAACTTTTTGACTTGAGAACCGCCTTCCAATACGGATTAAGTTCTCAAGTCAAGACCCCACTGTAAGTCTAATGACAACGGTTAAATGGTGCCAGGTCCCCCAATGCTTGTGACAGAATATTGCTCTACTAGTCTCAAGTCCAATTTGGTAGCATCTTTTCCTTTAAAAATTATTTCCCCTTACTTCTAGCTTTAGAAAGACCTTGAGTGTGTGTTGGTAGGTCAGAGAGAAACACCCCGGAGTAGCGTTCAGCTTGGTCAGGTTGAGGAACTGGCCTACAAATTTGTGGTAGAGATTGCTTTTTCGGAACTGCTGTTGGAATACCAGCTATTTTTTTGATTCTAGCACATATCAGTTTAAAAAGTTGATTCCAGTCCAGTACTTGGTATTTATGTTGTTTTCTCTTGGCACAGTCTCTTTTTTCTTGAGCTCAAAGGGGCAGAGAAGATGTAGAGAAATATATACTGTACCTATATTTTATACCTCTGGGGAAGGGGCTTGTGGGCTGGGATGCTTTTTTGGGGGGTCTCATGAGCCGTCTTAGTATAGACCCGTTTGGCTTCTGAATTAACTCCGGTCAGGGGCAAATCACTCCTACAACACTATGAGTAAGTGGGAGGGTGTCTCTTAGGCTCTAGAGCTTTATGGTTAGCTGTGTTTTGCACAACTGTGTGTGTAAGTACTCTGATGCTATTTTGTCTTCCTTTTTAAAAAGCCCTGTTCAAAAAAAAAAAAACTAAATAAGGGAAGGCTCTAGTTTGCAGGAGCTGATTCTGACTGTTAATAGTAGGATCTTCTGAAGGTCATCTGGGATGCTGGTAAAGTCTTTGGGGCCGAGTCCCAAGTCTGA